TATGAACATATTGATCTCTATCTGAATAGGTCCATAACACAAATATTCTTTACCAGATTTTGATGGCATGCAAAACAATTCTTTCTTTACTCTCTAAAAATTGATTTTACTTCCATCAACACAATTGTTTCACAAGAACTTCATTCAAAATAGTCTTTCTTCTTTATATCAATACTGTGTGTTTACACAAAAAGCCTATGTTAATGCAACATTGAGTTTGCAAAGTCAAGCACTCTAAAGGTAGAAACTGTTATAAATAGGGTTGCCTTTGTAACCTTAACTCAGCCCCTTTGTGTGTCTGCAGAATGATTACATTAATTACATGACCACGTATGATTTTTCCCACAGGGTCCCTGAATGGGTAGTTATTCTATATTTCTTTTCATCCTCCTCATTCAGTGTATGGCCCCATGCCATTTATGCACAGCATCCAAATACTGCACTGAATGAAAGGTTTATAATTTTGGCTCCAATCATCTTCCCCCTCTGCTCCTATTAAGGGAGCAGCCTCCTGCTCCAGCATCCTTTCCTGCTGTAATGCTATATACCGCACAGCCCCCTCTTTCTCTCCCCTGCTCCTATTCACCACATTCCACCCACTGGCTTCTGTCTCCCCCTTTGGTCTTCCGCTGGACCTTCTTGGCTCCTGGCATCCTAATCCTAAATGGGTTTTTTGGGGTCTTACTGCAGCATAAACAATAATACCATTAATAATAAATATTCTAAGCCATTTTACCCCCATCAGCTCTATTCAAAAGAATGTTGCATATGAAGAAGTGAGGTTTTTTACCCACGAAAGCTTATCCCCAAATAAATCTGTTAGTCTTTAAGGTGCCACCGAACTCCTTGTTGTTTTTGTGGATACAGACTAACACGGCTACCCCCTGATATTCAAAAGAATCAAATCTAATTTTTAAACAATGGTAATTTCTGAATATTTCACTAGTCCTGCCCTTGAAAACTTCTTCTAGCATGAGTCATGTCAAATTCTATCTATGTTTCACTTTTGTGATATAATATGATTTCCCTGGGCAGACCAAGGCACGCACAATCCTTAGACATTGCAAAGGTTTTAGATGGAGAAGTTTTAATTTTTTTTTTTAATCTCAATGTGTACTTAATCAACATTTTCCAAAAGCATTCTAGATGTTAGTGAGATTTATTCTGAACATTTGTAAGCATGCAAATATTTCTTTGTTTTGGAGCTAAAGGACATAGGAATCAAATTCAGCCTTATGTTTGGACTATAGTTCCAACCTTAACTATGAAGAGGCTGGTCCTCTCCATAATTAAGGAGAGCAAGACTAGAATCCTGGCCTTTCGACCCCAGAAATATGGACGTCTAACCACCTCCTGAACTAATTGAAGATTTCTGATAGGTGTTAGCTGGTGTAATACCAAACGTCCTTTCTAAATTGACCCCAGCCATTAGAGAGCAACATATGTTCTCACTTTTAGCCATGTGTGCATGCACATACACACAGAGAAAGAGGTTGCATCTATACTAGGGATGTGTTTTTTCAAAGGGACATAAAGACTTATCTACATGGCAACATGCAGGAAAGTTAATCCTAATTAACTAAAAATGTGAATTAAAAGTGGATTAGTTAACCTGCATTAAACCCCTATGAGGCCACTCTCATTCAGAGTGGCCTTAATTCAGTTTATCTTAATTCACTTCCACTTGGTGAAACTGCACCTGTTGGGAATTATGGGTCTGAAAAATCCTAGATTAGACAAGACCAATTTGCCTGACCCTGCTTTAACAGAAGATAGTAGGTGTATGTCTTGTTTCCATTTATTTTAATGGACGTTATCGAGCTATTCTCATTCCTACTGATGACAATGGGAGTCTTCTAGGTTATGTTTACACTGCTATTAAATGCCCGCGGCTGGCCCGTGTTAGCTGACTCAGGCTCACGGAGCTCAGGCTACGGAGCTATTTAATTGTGGTGTAGACGTTTGGGCTCGGGCTTGGTTCTGTGATGTGCCTTTTCGAGGAGCAGCACAGGAGATGGAGTATCTGGGGAGGCATAGCAAAGATGACTTAAAACCACTTTTTTCCCACCCAGATTCTAGGCTGCTGCGGAGGTTGAAATATATCAGCCTTTGCTCAGTTACCAATGGCGTGAACTGCATCTCAGAATCCCATCAGCTCCACTACAGCTCTGTATTTCTATAGCACTGAGTAATATGGCATTATGGAAGTGTATAATGGCTAGTGTGGGATGTAGAATTGGACCTATAATCAAGTTATATTTTAACTATTTTTGTCTATTTCCTTTACTATCAGGGTATATCTTTATAAATAATGGCAAGATTTGCTCCAAAATCAGTCATTTAAGGTCTTTGTGTAAAATGAATTTTATACTTGCTGAATTACCATAAAAACAACTGAAAGGGGATTTTTGACAATTATTTTAACATACAAGAACAAACATGAGACACTATGCAACTCTCTGAACAATTATGAGATTTCTAGTGATGCAGATGAATCAGACTGTATTCTTCCATCTGAGTATCTACATCCTTAGTTCAGATATCCAGTTTCTAAATACAGATATCAAATGTGACTCCTTAGACTCATCTGATTGTGAGGCTAGGAAAGGTAGCAGAAAAATATCTTGAGAGCAGATTCTTTATTAGGATAAAGCACCTTGTTCAAGGTAAAAGCTTAGCATGTTTTTTCCCAGCCCTTTTCAGTTCAGCATCATTTAAAAATGTTACTCTTAAGTTATTTTCTAGGTGCTGACTCAGTTTAATAATGATACATATCTTGCCCTCAACCAGGTGCCAGATCATTGGTTAGCAATTAAAAAAGCTTGTTTCAACTGTTCTCAGAAACACTGAAGACACCACAGAGGCATTTATGCTGAGACATTTGACATACAAAGTGCACATTTATGTCTTTGGATGACCTGCAATTTCACAAGCTTTTTAAGTTCAAAGATATGTTACTTGAGCTTTGAGACTTGTTGTCTTAAAACCTACATTTACAGTTATGTTTCATGGATGAGATTGAAAATATTTTTGTGGAAACTGTTTTTCAGTGCAATATGCAATTTTAATTAAACTGATTTTTTTTTATTTTGACAAAATTTCCCACAGAAAGAAAAGGAACCAAAATATTTTGTTCCATTTTGAAATTTATTTTATTTCAATGTTATAATTGTATTTTACATTATTTTATTATGTGTCAGTAGTGCATGAAATGACATATCAAGTCGTCATAATAACATGACAGGTCATTTTACACTATTACTACGAACATTTCATAATATGACAGACACTATAATAGTTGGAATATTGTCTAGCCCTTCACTTCACCCAAGAGATGACTGGAATGCAGTGGTGATTTAAAGGATTAATCTAAATCAGGGGTTCTCAGCCTGGGCGTTTTTACCCCCAGGAGAATTGCAAACAGATATCATGGAGTTACAAACACCGGGCCCTGCCCATATTGCTAAACTGAAGGAAGATTCCATATAGATAAGTAAGGGGGTTGGAGATTGGCTGCAGAGTAGTCCTGATATGGAAAAAGTTTGTAAATTTCTGATCTAAATCAAATTGTGAGATCCTGAACCCTCCACTCTGACCCCTTTAGAGCAGGTAAATGGGCTGGAGCAGCATAAATGGATTATAAAACCCATGATCTTCCTGAGCGGGAATTCCCCTGACTCAGGCACTGCAGAAGATAGTCACAAGGCTGCTTTTTGAGGACCTCTTCACAAGCCCCAGTACTGGGGTCAAGGTGGGGGGCAGGAGGGATACCTAGTGGGCTGGGTCACAGCATGCCACACTGCAAATACCAGGCAATGCTGGGGCCCATAGCACAGCTTGGGGAAGCTATCATTACTTAAACCTTCCAGGAGTGAGTATTCTCTGCCAGGAGCCATTCCAGTCACTAGAGTATCCTTGCGTTAGAAAGCTGAAAGGGTGACTTAAAGCCCCTCTCAGAGGCATAGCAGAGAATCTCACATTTTATCAGTAGATTTAGATCTCAATTCTTGCTTGACTCATGTGCATAGTCCCCTTGTGGTGCTCACTATGCCTTGTCTTAAATTAGTGCCCACACAATGGGTCCTTGATCTTGATCACAAGAATTAAACTCTTCAGGGCAGGAACTGGGTCTTACTACGGGTGTTTATAGTGCCCACACAATGGGTCCTTGATCTCAGCCGGGGCCTCTATACACTACCATAATACAGATAATAATTATGCTCATATTGCCGTGAGTAGGTGAGCAGGACTGGTCCAATAGTTTATAAAATGTTTTGTGATCCCTTGGAATGGAAGTCATTACATGAATATGTTACCCTTCTGCCATGCGTGGCTAACAGTAACAAGGACCAGGTTCAATATGGTGTCTAGGGAATCCTTTTTAAATGCTGTCTCCAAAAATGCACTGTCCATTGGGGAATAGTGGATACAAAATACTGAGGAGAGAGAGTTGTTAGCAGAGATTAATAATGCCATGTGAGAACTAAATATAACGAATTGGATGGTGATGAGTAGATAATTGAAGATTGTGACTGAGCCTCTTTTTCATGACACATTACATTTCAATATCTGTAACTGTCCATGAAGCAAGATGATCTTTAAGGGAGCGCAATATTTCAGAATCATGTTTTCTATTCATGTTTGCTAATTAAATTTGTTGAAGTATTTTAATCCTATTACACTGTTTAGATAATAAAAATAAATGAGGATTAATTGACTTTGGAATTATTTGGACTTAAATACTGCTCTTTTACTGATCCAGGACAATTTTTGAATACCGTTAAGTGAAGGGAGCCCTTATTTTTTTGTGTAACCATTATTCAGACGTGTCAGCCACATGCTATATAAGGCAACATTTACACACATCTTTAAATGCAGTTAACATTATAGAACATCAGCACTGAAGCTTTTTCAGAGTGCAAACTCTTATGCTAGAGGAGATCTTATTATACAACACTGAACTGTTGTTGAGATAAATAACTTTCACACTTCTTGTACAGGATTGACATCTTCAAGTATGTGATCTATGGCATAGCAGCTGCATTCTTTGTCTACGGCATTTTGCTGATGGTGGAGGGATTCTTTACGACTGGTGCCATCAAGGATCTCTATGGAGATTTCAAAATCACCACCTGCGGCAGATGTGTCAGTGCCTGGGTATGTTAATATGATAACCTTCATTACTTATGTTAATTTCAATAGCATCGTTGGAATAGGTTAGGATATGTTTACAGAGGAAATATGTCTCTAGGGAGGGGGGTTGTTATATATTCTTATATATTAGTAGTTTAAAAACTGCAGCAAGAAAGGAATGGAATAATATGAATGGTCTCCATATTAGCTAAGCAATATCTACTGATAAAAAATGCTATATAAAAGCTACATAATAATTAATACTCATGTTGGTAGAAATAATCACTTCACCAATTAAATGGACAGGCTCTTTTGCCCAAGCTAACTGTGAAAACTCATTGCTCAGTATTATGCTCTTTGGCTCAGGACCATGTTTTCATACGTGATTTTATAGTGCCCAACATAATGGAGCCCGTATCCTGATTGGGGCTTTAGGAACTGCTACATATCTGTATATAGGTTGTAATATTTAATCATAGTGAGAGCTGATAAATAGATCAGGCCCTGAACAGTTCCTCCTTGTTTAATAATGTGGAGCTGGATTTTGAACCTTTTACTCATATTGGTGAACAGTTATTCAAAAGTCATATTCACTTCAAAACTAAACCACAAATTGACTTCTGGATTAGCTACTTGCACATTTATGCCCTAGGATTGCTTGGCCAGTCACACTTAGTCTCTGTTTACTACTGAAACAACTAAATAATTATATTTTGGGGGACTGTGCTGAATAAATTCAAGGGAGTCTTTATTAGCAGAACCTTTCTGGGTTGGGGAGAGGCTACTCTAAATCTGAGAGTATTAAAGATGGGCAGATTGGGGTAGTAAATTTCTTGGCTTACCAAATTATCATTCCTTTTACCTGTGTGTTTGTCCTATTTTCTCTTCCATTCTTAGAAGCTCAGGTATTGTCACATCATTTATCAAAAATATTTTGCTGTTTGAGTGGGAGTAGGTGATTGATGCACTTTTGGAAGCCTGTAGAATTTTTAAAGTTGGTCATTTTATACCTTGATGATAATAGGAATAATTGCAAATAGCATGAACATAACATTTTATTCAAAGGAGGGCTAATCACTACACTATATTCTGAGATGACATATATTGATAAGCTGAAGTAAAGGCTAAGAGTACATTCTGGTGACAAAGGGTAAAAACCTTCCAAGAGCATAATAGTTATCAAGAGTCAACTATTAGAAACCCAGGCAATCCATAGCTAAACTTAACTTGAAAAGAAATCCACATATTTGAAATTGTGGAAATGCACAGTTAAGGCCATCCTAACAACTGTAACCTGCCCTATAATAATGTCATTCTTTCATCTTCTTGACTTTGTTCCGTTCATAACTACTGGCTGAGATATTAATAGTTGGACCGAGGACTTGTTGAGACCTTTAAAGATGTCTGTAGTCAGAGGCTGGGAACGTTATAAATTGGGAAAAGTTACTGTACTGAGACCACCACCATGTTCTTTGATCATGCTTTTATCATCTTATGGGCTTTGAGAAGTCTTAAGTCTATGGCTGCAGACATCTTAAATGTACAGGAGATACTGTACTAATACAACTTGTGGAGCCCAGATCATTGATTTTATAACAGTTTTGATATATGCATTCTTCAATACAAAGAGTTATGCTCCATCTACACATTAACCTTTATTCCTTTCATAATAATAAATGCCAAAATCTTATCACCTATGCCTAGGAGGATTCAATATGTACAATTAAAATTAAGGCAGTCTGGTTTTCATGCCCAATAACAAGATGAACTTGTTTGCTATGGGTGGAGGAAGTTGACAGAGAGGGTGAAATCCTGACTCAATTTAAGTGAATGGGAGTTTTGTAGCTGACTTCAATGGAGTCAGGATTTCATCCAGAATATTCCCCCCCCCCCCGGGGAGATTGTATGGCAGCTCTAATTCTGTACATTTCTATATTTTCAAATATTTGGGTTTCTTTTAGGTTAAACCGTAATTTTGAATTTCCTGGTCCTTTTTTGGTGGCTATTTGATAACTAACCTGTTTGTAAGGGTTAAAAAAAACCCCAAACCTAAGATACTGAGATAAGAACATAAGACCGGCCATCTAGCCCAGTATCCTGTCTTCCGACAGTGGCCAATCCCGGGTGCCCCAGAGAGAATGAACAGAACAGGTAATCATCAAGTGATCCATGCCCTGTCACCCATTCCCAGCTTCTGGCAAACAGAGGCTAGGGACACCATCCCTGTCCATCCTGGCTAATAGGCATTGATCGACTATCATCCATAAACTTATCTACTTCTTTTTTGAATACTGTTATATTCACAACATCCTCTGTCAAGGAGTTCCACAGGTTGACTGTGCGTTGTGTGGAAAAAATATTTCCTTTTGTTTGTTTTAAACCTGCTGCCTTTAATTTCATTTGGTGACCCCTAGTTCTTGTGTTATAAGAAGGAGTAAATAACACTTCCTTCTTTACTTTCTCCACACCAGTCATGATTTTATAGACTTCTCTCGTATCCCCCATTGTCATCTCATTTCAAGTTGAAAAGTCCCAGTCTTATTAATCTCCTCATATGGAAGCCGTTCCATACCCCTAATCATTTTGTTGCCCTTTTCTGAACCTTTTCCAATTCCATTATATCTTTTTTGAGATGGGGCAACCACATCTGCATGCAGTATTCAAGAAGTGAGCGTACCATGGATTTATATGGAGGCAATATGATATTTCTGTCTTATTATCTATCCCTTTCTTAATGATTCCCAACATTCTGTTCGCTTTTTTGACGGCCTCTGCACATTGAGTAGATGTTTTCAGAGAACTAGCCACAATGACTCCAAGATCTCTTTCTTGAGTGGTAACAGGTAATTTAGACCCCATCATTTTATATGTATAGTTGTATATAGACATGCACTCCCAACCTTAATTCCAGTTTAATGAAGATGGCAAATTTGTTTGATTTATATTTGTTTAGAAATGTTTGATATGCGTTGTCAGTAGAAGGAATCAAGGAATATGTTAAAAGCATTACAGTAGTCGCTGCAGGGAAGCTCTGTGGGTCGCTGGAAGTCATAGGGCAATACTCTGTATTCTCCCTAACTCTTCAACTGACCTCCTTGAGTTAGCTCTTTATTTCCTGGCCTCTCCTTTCTTCCCATACTTTGATTCCTGCTCTGGTTCTCTATGGCCTTCTTAAGATCAGCAGGAATCTTGTCATGATAAAGAACAGTGGAGTTTTTACTGGTCTTTTTATTTTAATCTAGCCTACAACTCTACATTCTTAAAATATACAGATTTATATCAATTAAAATTTGAGGCATTCTTGTTCACACGTTTCTTTTACTTCATTCACATATTTTAAAAATAATTCTTTTATATAAATAAATATATAAAAATAATGACTAGAGAAAAGCAACAATTTTTATTTGAAAAAGATGTCGTTAAAAGATAGTTCAGTTCTATCATGATGCTTTTGCATTTCTGCATTCCTCTTTTTCACATCACTATATGTAGGAGGATAAATTCAGAGCACAGTACATGGAGAATTAGACATATAACTCCTATTAAAAATTAAAAAGATTGCCCTGTGTATGTAGCCCAGATGGTGCTGTTGCTGTGTAGATCAGATAAGAGAAATTAATATACTGTAATTGTAGAGTTGCCAAATGGAGATTATGCTATTGAGGAGGATTAGCTCATATCACGGACTGCAAGAAGGCTTCCTTATATGGAATTCTGGGATATTGATCTCGTAAGTTAAAAAAAAAAACACTACACAAAACCAAAAATCTCAACTAATAGAATCAACCAGTTGCTTTCTAGCAATGTATTCTAAAAGTGACCCAAAAAGGTATTCTAAAAGTGACCTCTTTATGGTCACATATGCACACAAACTATTTGCATTCTAAAATAATTTGAAACCACATAATGGCTGTAACTTGAAAAGTGGCACTGTTAAGATGAGGTTGTGTGTTTGTCTCAATGATGCCAGGTAGAATTTGCTCAAATTATGAATTAAAAAATATTTCTGAACACCTGGAGGTCTGGGAATCAAGTTGAGTTCTTTTCCGCTTCAGCATCAGTACCTGCTGATATTAATGAAGTGTATAATACATGCATGTATTGATTACACCAGTAACTACAGCTGGTCAGAAAATGTCGGGGGTGGGGGGGAGGGGAGGTTTCTGGAAAAATTATTTGACAAAAAATGAAAAAAAATGGCTTTTGTCAATTTTCTGTGGAAAATGTTAACATTTCACTGAGAAACTGAAAACTTTTTGGTGTTTAGATATTCAGTTTTTTGACAAAAAGTGAAACTTTTGTGTTGAAAGCAGACAGTTTTGCCCTTTTTTGCCCATGTAGACAGGTCCTGAGTAAGTGTCAGTGGTAAAAGTCAGTGACTATTGTTTCAGAGCTAACTCATTGTTAATGAAGTAAAATAAGGGCAGCACAGGATTGTTAAATAAATTCAAGCACAGATCAGCAGTGGTTTTTAGTCTTCATACTTACATTTCTCAATACTATATGTATATTCCATGAATTAAATAAACAGATATATAGAATGGCAGTGGAGCTTGATTAGCTAGAAAATGAGAAAGAAAATTCAATTATGCCTAAAGCCACTTGTGACATACTTAATGTAGTTGAGATCAGGTGGCTCTCCCATTTATATTCACCTTGATGATCGTGGTATGTATCTTTTCCATATGTGATGTCAGTCAGCTGACTAAATGAAAGACTCATTTCTCAATCATCACAGCATCTCTTTTCTGAAACCTTGGCTTCTAGGTATCACTTATTGCATAACTAATTATTTTACTCTTTAAAATGAAAAGTTTTGCCTTCAGTGTTATGTTGCTTGCCTTAATACAGTAGCCTGCCAGGCACTATCCATGCATTGCCTCTGACTCTTCTTTTCTTTTGTACTCTGTTATTTGACCTTTTTTTTTTTGTTGGCAATAAACTGGAAAAATGTTTTATTTTGCTTTCAAATTAATTGGGTTATGAATGTGGCTTTCACACAGTATATGGCATTTTTTCTCAGT